CTAATAAATGTAAAAGTTGTAAGACATACATAAACTCAAAATGTAATATTTGATTCTTGGTGTAGAATTGTGTGATTAGAGGAACTCGCTTAATTGATTCATAAAGGTAGGTATATCATGATGATTCACTTTGTAAATAATTACAATTATTAATTAATTTGATGGTTGATTGTTGATGTGGATAGTCCTATGATTTTGAGATATTTCAGTATTTTCTCTCTTTAACTCAAAAAATACATAAACATTGTTGTAGTCTAGTTGGTTAGGGATATTTACCCCTAACCAATTAAGAAGATATTTAAGTTCTAAATTGAACTTACAAATTTACCCCTAGTTACAATTAAAAAAAGTGCAAGGAATTTCAAATGCTCAAAATCTCCTAAAGTACTGCTATATATTATATTATATTATATTATATTATATTATATTATATTATATTATATTATATTATATTATATGTATCTCATAGAGTGATTAGTGGTATATGAATGGAAGCCCAAATCACTTATAAAAAAAATTCATCCAAACGAACCCCATAATTTGTGTAAGCAATTTGGACTAATTTATATATATATATATATATATATATATATATTCTAGATAGCGTTTTCTTACTTAAGGTATGCGGTACCCCGGATTTCACCCGGGGTACCGCATACCTTAAGTAAGAAAACGCTATCTAGAACTTGAATTGACTGATCTTTCGGACATTATACTATACTCTAACCCATAAAGATCAAAATCTAGGTCTTAATTCTCTAAATCTTATACCCCAAGATCAATTTAATTAGAAACAATAATCGACGGTTATGATTCGTCCAAATATAGGCAAAAAAAGTAATGCAGCATCTTAGGGTTTATAGGTAATGATTAAGATAATTAGGACCCAGGGTTCACTCATTAAGGGTTAGGGTATAGTATCATGCCCAAAAATCCTGCTAATTCGAGGTCTAGATAGCGTTTTCATACTCAAGGTATGCGGTACCCCGGATTTCACCCGGGGTACTGTAGAAGGCACCATATATATATATATATATATATATATATATATATATATATATATATATATATATATAGATATAGGATTTGGACCCAAAATGTTTAGAGACATTTTCTCATCTTCTTCCAACTACCTTCTTCAATACCTTCTTTCACTAAAATGTAAGTTGGATCCATCTTTCAAATCTACTGGGACCGAAACTGTAGCATTTTTTTGTCAATAGATCACTCTTTAAAAGAGGAAATCGTTCAGATACATTGTAGCAAGAGGGTTCAAACATCACTCGAATGAAGCCAAAGAATAGAATTTGAACCTCGAAAACAATTGGCGACATACATAGAGCTTTATGGGCCACACAATGAGCCGCTCAGTTTCGAACTCTACCCAAGAACACAACCCGAGACACATCAACAACTTCAAGGAGATGGAAGATTTCTTGGAGGAGCACACCAATCTTGCTTTCAGTCGCGTCCCTAGCCAAACATTTGTCTATGATCAATTTCGCATCACCGCCAATGGATACCCCTTGTAGCCTCCTCCTGTAACAATCTTCCAAGCAATCCCTCATCCCCAAAGCTTCCAAGATGTAAGGATCTGCATTTCCATCATACCGCCCAGCAGCAGCCTCGATAGTCTCGCCTGAAGGATAAAAAAACATATCCTATTGTTCCATACCCTTGAGATGAAGTTGTAGCGTCAAATGTAGCCTGGATACCATGACTAGCACGAAAATCCTGCAATGGAATGGTAACAGAAGGTTTTGTACGAGAGACATTGTTAGGAAGAAGTAAAGCTTGTTCCACTTCCTTAACCTGATGTAACCATTGATGCGCTAAAACATGCAGCTGGAGTTGCTTTGCTTGGAACACCACCGAACACCTATTCTTCCACAACCTCCAAAGCAAGCAAACCACCTGCAGAATCAAAAAATCCTCATTTGGACCATGAACCTTACTGAGAGTGTACCTAATGAAACCCTGAAACGTCCGCTTCTCAGCCTGCCTCCAAAATTCCTGCATACCAATCAATCTCCAGAATTTTCTAGCAACCAAACATGAGAAGAACAAGTGTTCAACTGTTTCCTCCTTTCTACCACAAACCGGGCAAATGGGAATTAAATCCATACCTCGAATCGCCAATGCCTCCTTAGTTGGAAGAATACGATGTAATCCTTTCCACAAAAAGAATATCAACTTAGGTGGCACTTTCCTATTCCAAACCCATTGCCATAACATCCGATCCATAAATAAAATTTAATGTTTATTAGTGGAAGAAACAAGCTGCAAAGAAGAGAGGTATAGATATGCAGATTTAACAGAAAAAATTCCAGAGGATTCAAAATGCCAGACCAGCTTATCTCTGATCCGTTGTTGTGGGAGAGGAATCCCTTGTATCAAACGGACAGTAGCTTCATCAAAGTATAAATTGAGTATGCTGGCATTCCAAAGCTTGGTTCCTAGATCAATAAAAGCATAAACGAAGGGAAAAGCAATAGGAGCACCTGGTTTGGGTTTGGGTTTAGGAGTGGATGGGGGAGTGGTAGGTAGCCATGGATCCAATAGAGCTCGAATAGTGAAGCCATCGCCAACCTGCCAACGAAGTCCCTGAACAAGCAAGTCTCTGCCAAACATAACACTTTGCCAGCCCCTCGATGGATTGGAACCCAGAGATGCTTCAAGAATCAAAGACATAGAACTGAAGTAACGACCCCTATAAATGCGAACCAAAAGAGAAGTGGGATCCGAAAGAACACGCCAAACAACCTTAGCTAGAAGGGCTTGGTTGAACTGACCAAACTCCCTGAATCCCAAACCACCAGCTTGCTTACTCGAGCATAGGAATTTCCAAGATCGCCAATGAATCCGCCTTTGTTCCTGTGTTGCTCCCCACCAAAAACGAGCCAAGTGAGCATTCAATCGCCGTATCAACTCTGTCGGCAGCCGGAAACATGACATTATATAAATGTGTAGAGCAGCTGCTACAGACTTGATGAGAACCTCTTTGGCGGCAGTAGACAGACTTCGTTGTTTCCAACCTTGAAGAACATACAACAATTTTACTTCCATAAAACGAAAAGTCTCCATCTCTGATCTCTCGAAAAGAGAGGGCAAACCTAAGTATCTATCTTGCAGACCAATCGACCCAACTCCAAGAAAAGAACCCAGCTCTTCCTGTTCTGACTGTAGCATATTAGGACTGCAATACACAGCAGATTTTTGGAGATTAACTCTCTGGCCACTGATACTTTGATAATCTTGGAGGACATGAAGAAGGAAAGAAGCATCCCTTTTCGAAGCCCGGAGGAATAGGAAAGAATCATCTGCGAACAAAAGATGGGAAACAGATGGACACTGAGCATTGATTCTAACCTCATGGATTTCATGCCTTGAAATAGCTCGTTTAATCATCGTAGTGAATCCTTCCGAGCATATAGCAAACAGTAACAGAGATAATGGGTCATCTTGACGTAAACCACGGGAGGAAGGGAAATAACCAGTCGAATAACCATTCACCATTACAGAGAAGGTAGCTGTTGTGATGCATTCCCTAATCCAGTGAATCCAAGTGGAAGAGAAACCCAATTTCCTGATGATGGAAAATAAATAAGGTCATTCGATTCTGTCGTAAGCCTTATCCATGTCCAGTTACAGAGCCATAAACCTTTCCCGGCCCAGTCTTTTGTTTTTTATGAAATGAACCAGTTCCTGAGCTACTAAAACATTATCAACAATCTGTCTTTCCTGAACAAAACCATTATGCTCCGGGGAGATTAAATCAGGAAGAATAGAACCCAACCTGGTAGCGAGAATTTTTGTTATCACCTTGTACAAGAATTGGCAGAGATTGATATGACGCAATTGAGAAGCTCTTTCAACCATATCAACTTTTGGAATAAGAGTAATCCAAGTGTGGTTCATATTCTTAAGAAGTTTACCAGACTGAAAAAAGGATTTGACAGCCTTAATGACACTCTCACCCACAAATAGCGAGAAAGACTTGAAGAAGCACCCAGTTAAACCATCTAATCCCAGAGAACTGAACTCTCCCAAATGAAAGACAGAATTTTTAATTTCCTCTGCAGAAACTTCGGCTGTTAAAATAAGGTTCATTGTAGGAGTGACTAAAGGAGGTAAGGGTAACTCAGACACCCTTGAATCAACTCGAGGAGCAAACTCAGTATCAGTATGCTCTGAAGTGAAAAGATTCTTATAAAAATCAACCATTACCTGTTGTTTTCCTGGCTCATCACTTACCCATTCGTCAGCTGAATTGTACAAACCATGAATCCTGTTGCGACGTCATCGTGCACGAGTAACATTGTGAAAGTAATTTGTGTTGCGATCTCCACCACGAAGCCAGTTCTGTCTTGATCTTTGTCGCCAATAGAGCTCTTCAGCAGCCCAAGTCTTGGCCAACTCGGATTCAATCCTACTAAGTTCAGTCCAGTCAACGGGATAAGAATTGCGGATCTGAGATGACTCCCCACGCAAAGTCCTTATAGTTCGTGCTGAATTAGTTATTCCCTCTTTACACCATTGAAACAATTTATGGCGAGCATGTTTCATCCAGCTCCAAAGTTGAAAACATGGAGAACCAGAAACAGATGTAGCCCATACCTCTTTCACAATGTTAATAGCTTCAGAATTTTCTTTCCAATGAGCATCAAACCTGAACAAAGGCTTACTTGGCAGGCGATCAACAATCCATTTGAACCACATAGCTCTGTGATCGCTTCCTTCATCTGAAAGATGTTGTACCGAGCAATGTGGCCAAGTGTCAAGTCAATTACCTGAAAACAAGAAACAATCCAATCGACTATTGATAACTGGGAAGGAGGGGGGGAAAAACGATTCATTTCAATCAGGTATAAGTTAACAATCGCAAGGGATTACATCAAGCAAGTTCGGAGCAAAGTCAATAGACACAATTAAATTCAATCCTGTTGTATAGAAGTATGCAGAGGCAACTTAATAGAACTCCAGAATCACTGATATAGCAACTAGACACGAAAGAAAGGAAAAGGTACTAAAAGTAGAGTGATAAAGGATAGCTTGAAAGATAAGTAATCACCTTGAGAAAGCCAGCTCCAGCAAGAGGAATCAGCTGCAATGCTGGATATAAGCCGCGCATTGGCCGTCGCGCTGTGAAACGGTATCAACGATTCGACGCTTCCTAAAGTTGAAACAACCCTAAGAACCAAGCCAATTATCCAAAATGGGTTAACAAATCGAAACAATACAAACCAAAAGAGAAGGAAAAGCAAAGAAATTGGAAGCCAAAGTAGGGATTCTGAACTGCAAATGGTAGCAGTGAGAAACAGTAAAGAATTTTCTACCTTGAAGCGCTTCGGACTACCCGCGTCGCAGAGGGTGAAGAGAAGGCAGACGACGAGAAGAGGGAATTCTGAGTTAGGGTTCTTGACCGTGGTGCTAGCGACCTTGCGCCCGCCATTACAGCGGACCTGCAGATGGAAGCCATGTCTCTCTGGGTTTCTGCAACAGAGAAAATCGAGGTAAAAGGGGTAAACGAAGATGGCGCCTTAAAGGCATAAACCCTACAATTAGCATTCTCAAACGATGTCGTTCAGTAGAGAAATGAAATAAAGATGGGCTTCTCATGGCTTCTTTGGGCCTCCATCAGATTAACTAGTTTTCGTTTCTCATGGCTTGGAGGCCCGTCAAACGTTAATTCCTGGGCTTTACAGGCTACATCAGCCCAATAGATCTACTGATCAATCTTGTGATCATCCATCCCCATGAGAGGTGGGGGATTCTCAATTCTCAAACAAATCTCCAACTTGACCAAGTTGGAATTCTTTTTTATGTTGATGTAAGATTGAGAATCAAATAGACCAAATCTTCTCCAATTTTGAACTATCATAAGCCTCATCATCACTATCTTCTTCTTCTTCTTCTTCTTCCATACTCTCTGCCCGCTGCCGCATTTGACCGGAAACAGAGCCAGCAAAAGAAGGGGAGAGTTCATAGATATGTCGAGGGCGATCATGGGTTCTTCCAGGTAAGTAATATTACACACCCAATTGCCTTTCTCATTCGCTGCTCTTGTTCCTTTGTGATGGAGGCTGTATTGACAATTAGATCCATGTTTGAGCAGGAACAGAGGTTTGCTGTTAAGAGCACCGTCGCCGGCGGCAGCCAAACTTCTTAAACATCTGTTCTCGACCTCGCCGGCAAGTGGCACTGAAAGCAGGTAGGTGGGTCTTCCCTTCCATTTAATTCAATCACCTTAATTTAATTGAAACCCAATTACCAGTTTACCACCCACCTCTGTTTTCATTACTGTATTAATTAGTAATTACCATCCGCTTCTTTTTCCCTTCCAGCTAGTAGTCAATTTTCCCAGAAACTGGTGCGGTTAGATTAACTAGTACATTGATTAGGGTGAAACTAATTCCATGTTTAATTACTTTGGGATCTCAGAGTAGCTAGTAGGTCAGTAAGCTCTGACCGTGCATGTGTTGTTGTCTCTCTGTCTCTCTCTCTGCAACTTGCTCGTCTAATCTAATCGTTAAAACAAAAGGAATACTTCCTTTGTCCCTCCAATGTTTTCATCTTCTGTTTGTCTTATACTACGCTCGCAATTTCTTTGCATTTTTAGATTTTTTTTTTCCTATGGGAATTGATTCCGTCTTTCCCGACTAGTGGTCCCCCCATCTATTTACGTTTGCATGTCCCTGTCGCGGCTGCCGTCCATATCTCATATATTATTGGGCCATAGTGGTGCTGTCCAATCAAACATGTGTTCCGCATTATTGGGCCTCACCGATGTTAAGGGCTGTGGCCCGGAGTCGGAGCAAAGGGAGCCAGCCGACGTCCTTGTTTCGTGTTGTTTGTCATGCTAGACGATAGCCTGATGTTGAAACGAAAACGACGAAAACGAGGAGGAATACGTTTGACTTACGAGAGTTCGTTCTCTAAACCCAAATTTAATCTATGAGGTGCATCTATTAAAAGAATCCGTTAAAAACTTAAAATACTCATTAAATTTTGGAAGATTCAATTCAATATCACAATTGACAGGTACTCACGGGTGTATGAGTTTTCATTATTCAACTACTCATAAGTTCACAAATATAAATATACATTATTACTTCGAACACTCATATCATAATGTTATCAAAATTTCTCCTACTAATATATCTTCATAATTACTATTAACATTCATAAATTATTCGTACTAATTAGGTTCATATTGTCATAAAAACCTATAACATCAATAAATTATTCATATTATTTTAGTTGAATACAAAATTACGACGTTTTGCTTATGAGTGTGAGGCAGGTGGAAAGCGCGGTTGGGTTTTAGCAAAACCCGACCCAACCCACCATTTTCAGAAGAAGGTAAAACCCACACCCGACCCTAACCCGTCAAAACTTGGTTCTACCCGTTTTGTCTGGGTTGGATACCCGTGGATTCGGGTTCAATTGTCATCTCTAAGCAAGTCTAATTTTTTATTTAGTGCGACGGAGTCCGAAATCTGAATGAATGAGGTGCTACTTACTAGAAATGTTAAGTTTGAAGGATTTGAACGAAAATCATTGTGAGGGAGATTCAAATTTTACATGTGTTATTCTCCCTGAACTCTTCTTCTTTGCTATATTCTCCCCATATGTGTACAATCATCGGCGGATCTAGGGCTGGGCCAACCCGGGCCACGGCCCAGTCCTTCGCCGGATCCAAAGCTAGTAAAGAGCTTATAAATTTTTCGATTTTAGGTATTCGATCCAGTATTATTTAATGGTCGGTCGAGTATTATTTGATAATAAATTTTGTATAGTTAGAAAAATGGTGTAGATGAACATATGCAAACTATTACTCTCAATTTAGTCTAGGAATTCTAGCCCGAATTATATTCATTGGAAGAAAAAAACCATAAAACCTAAATGTCTAAAATTTTAAAGAGTGTATAAAGTTTCATTGAAATAAGAAAACCCTCTAAGCAAATTGATTTATTGGTTGATTCTTCTAGTGTTGACCTTGCCGTTTCAACGGCTACCATGGAGAGAACATTTTAAGCAATAAAATATGTGAAAACTAATTTGCGCAACAAAATGCTTGATGAATTTCTCGTTGATTGCTTAGCTATTTTCTTTGAGAGAGAGTACGCTATTGATATGGATGGAGATTCTATTATTATGATGGATTTGCAGAATTAAAAAACCTTCTATTACAATTGGCATTGAAATGAATGAAAACTATTGTTATCATATATTTTTGGGTAAATACAATTTATTAGTCAAACCTTTTAGACTTTACAAATTATTAGCCAAACCTTTCGAAATACAAAATATTAGCTAAATCTTTTGTAACACATCAAAATATTAGCCATTTGTCTGTTACCGTGGTAATTTTGTAACTATTTTTTTTTATTTGAAATACTAAAATTTTAATGTTGAATATTTTTTTTACAATATATAATATTATATTAAAATGCGGTCCAGTGCTCTATTGTGTTCTGGATCCGCCGCTGTAATCATGGTAGACTAGTTTTTGCACTCTCAACAAGTAACTTGCCAATATGGGACACCGGCAGGAAGCTAGAAGGCAAAATAGCAGTGATCACCGGAGGAGCAAATGGGATAGGGAGAGAAACCGCCGCCAAATTCATCCACAACGGCGCCAAAGTCATAATCGCCGACATCAACAAGGACCTCGGCCTCCAGACCGCACGCCAGCTAGGCCCCAGCGCATCATTCATTCCTTGTGACGTGGCCAACGAATCCGACGTGTCGGACGCCGTGGACTTCGCGGTGTCCCAGCACAGCCGCCTCGACATCATGTACAACAACGCCGGCGTCTCCTGCAGAACCCCTCCCAGCATCGTCGACCTCGACATGGAAACCTTCGATAGGGTAAGGTACTAAGGTTACTGTATAACATGCATTCACACACCACATTTTAGATTCCAACTCTGTAGTCTATAGGTAGGTATTGTTAATAAATGTTATACGATTCACAATTAAAATTCTCCCAACAATGCGGATTATTGGACCGACTAGTTCTTAAGAAGTGTAAGACATCTTGTTCTAGGACGTTGTTGGGTAAGGTTGCAGATTTTGGACACTCGCAATTACTCGTAACAAGGTAGGATGGATAGAAAGAATTTAGGGATTGAGAAATGAATTAGGGATTAGAGGATCAAAATTAAAGATTGAGATTAGAATTTGATAAGGAGAGATATTCGGGTTTTGATAGTTTTCCTAATATTGTTCTTGATGAATTATTATGACATAAATCCAAAGTATATATTTACCGGGAAAATACTGGAAAACTATAATTCTACCGGAATGCTACCAATCCTAACAATAATGGTCCTACTATAGTTAATAATAGAAACCCATAACGACCGAATTTCTAACAGGATGATGTCAGAACCTTCTGTAACCGAGAAGTTTTCTATTCGAATCCCGATTATATCAATCTCTGATCTATTAAGCAGATGATATACATGTGCAAACTTAAAGCTCATATGAGTCTGTTTTCCGTCTATGAGATAATATTGTTAGTAAATAATATGTGATTCATAATTGAACTTCTTCATACAAAACTCGTGTTAAATTGGACGAGAATTAAAGGAGACAAAGGCTTAACGTGGTTCTTCCTCACTGTTCGTGAGGCTTACGTCCACGGTGAATGATGGTGATTTTATTGCTTGCGGTGGCCGATGGCCTTACAGCTGTTTATATACCCTATTCTACAAGTATCATCTAGGGTACAGCTGTTTCTACGATTACAAGGAGGAGAAGGAGTCCAACTACTGCACGTCAAAGCTGCTAGTGCATGGGCCACTGCATGGGCTTGAGGATCAACGTTGGAGACGGCCTTCTGCATCTTCTCTGGTGCGGCCTCTCGGCCCAATACTCCCCCGCAAGCTGAGGCGTGGAGATCTCGAACACTCAGCTTGGAGAGAAGGAAATGAAAACGCTCCGCACCAAGCCCTTTGGTGAACAAGTCCGCAAGTTGAAGTTCTGTACGGACTTTGATGGGGAGAATGTCGTGAGACTGAACCCGCTCACGGACAAAATAACAATCCATCTCCACGTGTTTAGTGCGCTCGTGGAAGACTGGATTGTTGGCAATATGAACAGCAGCCTGACTATCACAGTGTAAAGGAGTGGGACTAGTTTGCGGGACACCGAGCTCACTGAGGAGCCACCGCAACCATAAGATTTCACTAACTGTGCTAGCCATGGCACGATATTCAGCTTCAGCTGAGGACCGAGCAACTACCCGTTGCTTCTTGGTGCGCCAGGAAATGGGAGCACCGCCGAGACTGATAAAATACCCTGTGGTAGAACGACGAGTTTGCTCACAACCACCCCAATCGGAGTCACAGTAGGCAGTGAGCTGAAGCGGGTTATCAGTCGGGAAAAACAAGCCCTGTCCGGGTGATGCCTTGAGGTAACGGAGAACACGGTAGGCTGCATCCAGATGCTGCTGGCAAGGAGAAGTGACAAACTGGCTTAAAATGTTGACGGCATAGGTGATGTCGGGCCGTGTGACAGTCAAGTAGAGGAGGCGCCCAACCAAACGCCGGTAAAGTGAAGGATCGGGCAAAGGATCTCCTCCAGAACGAGTGAGATGATGATTTTGCTCGACTGGGAAGGCGCTAGGACGAGTCCCTTGAACACCTGCATCCTCCAGAATATCCAGGACGTATTTGCGCTGACTAAGAGAGACCCCCGTGGCTGTACGTGCCAACTCGATACCCAGGAAGTAGCGTAGGACGCCAAGGTCCTTGATAGTGAATCGCTGATCGAGGAACTGCTTGACCTGGTTGATAAATGAGAGATCATTCCCTGCCAGGATAACATCGTCGACATAGATCAAAGCTGTGACGAACGTGCTGCCTTTGCGATAGACAAAAAGAGAAGCATCTGCCGGAGAGGAACGGAAACCAAACTCACAGAGAGCTGCCGTGAACTTGTGATACCAATTACGAGATGCCTGACGAAGCCCATAAATGGATTTATGCAACCGACACACTCTGGTGTCGCCAGGCTGACGAAAACCCTGTGGAATTTCCATATAGACCTCTTCATCGAGATCACCGTGAAGGAAGGCATTGTTGACATCCAGTTGATGAATATGCCACCCACGACTGACAGCAACCGCGATGAGACAACGAACAGTTACCAACTTGGCAACAGGTGCGAATGTGTCGTGGAAATCAAGACCTTCAATTTGAGTATATCCCTTGGCCACAAGACGAGCTTTGTAGCGCTCTATCGTCCCATCAGGGTAAAACTTGATCTTAAAAACCCATTTTGATGCAATGGCGCGTTTCCCCGGTGGAAGATAAACCAAACTCCAAGTGCCATTTTTCTCCAATGCTGCAATTTCACGTGCCATGGCTTCACGCCAACAAGCTAGGCGAATGGCTTGATAGAAGAACCGCGGCTCGTCTAGACGCGTTTGAGCTGCAAGAAAAGCACGGTAAGTGGGCTTGAAATTATCATAATTGACATAAGCAGCAATTGGGTACTTGACAAAATTAGTGTTACTTCCCTGAGACTGGTGGGAAGGAAGATCTGTTTCATAAATGGCAAGATGTTTGGGCTGCCGCCGTTCTCGATCACTTCGGCGGAGGACAGGGGACCCGGGCTGGGTCGTGGGCCCAGGAGACGGGCTGCGCTCAACTGATGGGCGTGGGGAGGAGGACGGCCCAGACGAGGTGGTGGTCTCACACGGGCTGGGAGAAGTTGTGGGCCCGGGAGAGCCGCCAGATGGACCTGTGCTGGAGGAAGGCACGGAAGGAGATATGGGCCCGGGAGAGTCGCCAGATGGGCCTGCACTGGAGGAAGGCGAGGTCGGGTCGATCTCTGCTGCTGGGCCGGTCTCCACTTCAGGACGCGAAGAGCTGAGTGCGTCCGAGTCATGGAGAGGTGTTGCTGTGGGAGTGTCATCAATGTATGGAACTGGTGGCCGAGGTATCCAATGAAGGAGTTTTGTGGTACCATCTTGATATGGGAATATACTCTCATGGAATTGAACATCACGAGAGGTAATGAGCCGTTGAGTGGACAAGTCAAGAATTCGATACCCTTTCTGACTAGTGGCGTATCCCAAAAACAAACCTGCTCGACCCCGTTCGCCGAATTTGTCAAGCCGAGCATGTGTATCTTTGTAATAAACCAAGCAACCAAAGACACGGAGATGTTGATATTTGGCTGGTTTACCGAACAACTGCTCATATGGTGTCTTTCCGGTTGCTGTAGTGGGGAGGCGATTAATAAGATAAACCGCCGTCAGAATACATTCGCCCCAAAATTTCACCGGAAGACTAGCCTGGAAACGCAGTGCACGAGCAGTATCCAGAATATGACGGTGCTTTCTCTCAACCACACCATTCTGCTGTGGAGTATCCGTGCAAGAAGTCTGTAAAAGAATTCCCATGTGAGCATAATAATCTTTGAGAATGTCGGTAGCGAATTCATGACCGTTGTCTGCTTGTATCCTTTTGACCGAATATCCAAACTGCGTATGAACCATGCTGCAAAACTGCATCAAACATTTTCCCACATCTGATTTATATCGTAACAAATAAACCCACACACCACGAGAATAATCATCAACGATGGTCAGAAAATAATGTGCACCACTTAGGGATGCAACCCTGTAACCTCCCCAAATGTCTACATGAATGAGCTCAAAACAAGCTGATGTTTTAATCATACTAGGCCGAAAAGGTTCACGTGTTTGCTTAGCACGAGCACAAGGATGACACGGACCATTATTAAGAGTAAACTTCACCGATAATAACGAACTAAGACAAGATGCTTTGTCAAATGATGGATGCCCCAGACGAGCATGCCAAATCGACTCCGAGATGAGACTCCGACGTTGCACTGCACAGGCTTGCGTTCGACCCGGACCAAACAAACGCAAGTAATAGAGACCATCACGCAGCTCACCCTTCCCAATCAATTTCTTGGAGCGTAAGTCCTGAATCACGCAAAAATCATCAAGAAAGATCAAAGCCACATGATTATCTTTGGTCAGTCTACTTACAGAGACCAGATTACAACGGAACTCAGGAACATGAAGTACTCTTCCCAACGTGAAACCTGTCTGTAAATCCACTGAACCCACATGTTTGACTGGAATGCTTTCCCCATTGGGAATGCGGACTGGTTGTCCATTAATCGGAACTTCCTTACGTGACAACATAGATTCATCCATGGTAATGTGCTCATTGCAACCAGAATCTATTAACCACTCAGAATCATAGGATACAATACCTGCCATGTGTGCCGAGGGGTCATCCGCCGGCTTGCCAGAGTATCCGAAAAACTGTTTGAGCTGATCGAGCTGTGCTAGAGTGAAACCAGGTACTGGGCTTGCCTCAGCCTCCACCTGTGAAGCCTTGGGCTCTCGGCCAGAACCCTCATTCGCTCCTCGATTCCTTCGACGCGGGGGCCTGTCGCCATTCTTCTCACCATTTTTGTCTCGGGGAGGATAGCCTATTAATTCATAGCAAGCTTCACGGAGATGACCAATGCGCTGACAGTGTGTGCAGCGAGGCCTCTCCCGCTGCTCCCCCGTGCTCCGCAACTCTCCAACATTGCGCTGGCCCCTCTCGGTTTCTCCTTTGGCCACAAAAACCGCCGCTTCAGGTTGGACTTTGCGGTTTTGTGTAATAGCCTTTTGTTGTTCCTCATGCATCACTATGTTGAAGGCCTCTGCAAGGTTGGGAGGAGGTTTCATTGCTAGAATTTGAGTACGAACAGGACCAAAAGCATCCTCGAGCCCCATGAGGAAGTCATACAAACGAGCATTCTCCTGTTGCTCTCGAGCTCGGCGTGCCACTCCACAAGTGCACAAGCCACACGTGCAAACCGGGGAAGGTGCGATAGCCGCTGCCTCTTCCCATAGAGACCGAAGTCTAGTGTAGAAAGCCGACACCGTATGTTTTTCTTGCTGGAGCAGAACGATGAGTCGCCGCAGCTCGTAGGCTCGTGAAGAGCTCCCTTGACCAAACCGCGCACGAAGATCGGCCCATATCTCAGCGGCGGTTTCAGCGAACCTAATACTGCTGCGGATTTCCTTGTCCATTGAAGTTTTGAGCCACCCTTTTACCATGGCGTCACAGCGTAGCCACGCTGATCGTTCGACAGGACTAGTCGGTTTGACGATGCTACCATCTACCAAACCGTATTTATTTTTGGCTATCAGGGCGTCTTTCATGTCAATTACCCATTCGCCGTAGTTCGATGCCGTTAGGATTTCGCCAACGAGCATGTTTCCAGGACTGTCAGAGTTGTGAAGCTGGAGGGCGGACGGGAGATCCTCCTCCGTTTTGATCGTCGAGCTGTGGGACGCTTCCTTGGATCCATCATCATCGTTTTTGCCACTCATGATTGATGGTCGACAAAGGAGACCACTGCACTGGAGCTTAGTGCTCTGATACCATGTTAAATTGGACGAGAATTAAAGGAGACAAAGGCTTAACGTGGTTCTTCCTCACTGTTCGTGAGGCTTACGTCCACGGTGAATGATGGTGATTTTATTGCTTGCGGTGGCCGATGGCCTTACAGCTGTTTATATACCCTATTCTACAAGTATCATCTAGGGTACAGCTGTTTCTACGATTACAAGGAGGAGAAGGAGTCCAACTACTGCACGTCAAAGCTGCTAGTGCATGGGCCACTGCATGGGCTTGAGGATCAACGTTGGAGACGGCCTTCTGCATCTTCTCTGGTGCGGCCTCTCGGCCCAATAACTCGAGGCAGTGAGATCAATTGGTTCTTCATGCGTCGTATCTTAAATCCCGACAGGTGATGGGGATCAACGCGAGGGGAGCGCTGGCGGGCGTGAAGCACGCGGCGCGAGTGATGATCCCGCAGCAGAGCGGGACCATCCTCTGCACCGCCAGCGTGACGGGGATCATGGGCGGGATGGCCCAGCACACGTACAGCCTGACCAAGGCGGCGGTCATCGCCATCGTGAAGTCGGCGGCGGCGGAGCTTTCGCACCACGGGGTGAGGGTGAACTGCATCTCCCCGTTCGCCATCCCGACGGCGTTCGTGATGGAGGAGCTGCAGCACTACTACGCCGGGGAGAAGCCGGAGAGGATCATGGATATCGTGTACGCCATGGGGACGCTGAAGGGGGCGAGGTGCGAGCCGGCCGACGTGGCGAACGCGGCAGTGTATCTGGCGTCGGAGGATGCCAAGTACGTTTCCGGGCATAATCTGGTGGTGGACGGTGGGTTTACGTCGTTCAAGACTCTGGGGTTGCCTGAAAGGAAGTAGCAAAGTTTGGGGAGGTAATAGTAATTAATCCCTATTTGGGACAACTACTATATCATAACTGAAGTTTGGCGATTGGATCTCTATTTTTGTTCTGCTCTCACTTTCCTTGTGTATTTTTAACAGTGAATGTGTCGATTATCATGCGGGTATTTGATTGCACTCAAATTAATATTTGGATTTGGAGAGAGAACCCAAATTGATCTATGTGGAAGGGTATTTTCCGACTTGTAGTAGTAGTCAGAATGCAAAGACAGTGGTCCCCGGAACTGGCGGAGGCGCATGCAATTCGTTTTGGGTTAAGGATGGAGAGAACCCATGGATTCCGGCTAGGAGAGGAGAGATCAAGACTGGTTGTCTGCTTGTGATTCAGAATATAGGAAAATGAGGACTCGACGGAGAAGGAGATCAGTGACGTTTGTCGCGAAATTCGGGAAGAAGCAAATCAGATGGGCCAAATGCGCTTTATGCATGCGGGCCGAGATTGCAACAGGCTAGTCCACTTAATGGCACATACCAGATGTCATTGGGATTTGGGAAGATGAGGAAGTTTGGACCTAGACCCCATTTTTTTCCTAAATCGTTAAATGTCGCTCTTAAAATTGCTAACGTCGCCCTAACTCTAATAATAAATGACTTATATACCCCAATAAAATTTCAAAATTTAAACAAACCAAACAATCCCTAACCCCTCAAACTGAACCTCTCAGCTGTCTTCTTCGTGAATCCTTCTCGACGCACCAGTTCATCGGCGTCTTTTCCGCCGTCGTCGTCGCCCGTTCTCTAACGAAATTTCCAAAAAAACGCTCAACCTAAGGCAAGTTACGGTTGGTCCATGGTGCAACCGCAACTCACTTGAGGTTGGTCCATGGAGCAACCGCAAGTGAGCTGCGGTTGGCCCATGGTGCAACCGCAAATGAGCTACGGTTCCCTTTTTTTGTTTTTTTTTTCAATTTTTTGAGTGAACTTTACCGATTCAGAGTCGCTAGTCATGCTCCAGACATCATATCGACGATTCCAACTCCAGAATGACGATGATGGATTCACTCTTTTGAATAATGTTTTATTTTCTTTACTAAGTTGTGTTTGTTTGCTAAAGGAAGAGTAAAGAAGCTAAAAGGTTAAATTTGTAACTTTAATGTTTTTGGGTATGCCTACTATGATATGCATGTCACCGTGACATGGACTTTTCGGTCGACCTAATCCTGAAGGCGGTCGACCGAATTGAGTAATTTGGACAGCACGAGAAAGCATTGCGGTCGACCGCAAATACCACCTGGTCGACCGCTCATAGTTTAAGTTGTAATTTTTGGTCGACCAGAATAAAACCTCGGTCGGCCATTTCGTTGGCGTCAGAAACAACATGGTCGACCGTAAAGGTATGTAGGTCGACTACTTGATGGCAGTCATTAACAACATGGTCGACCAGATAAAGAAAAAGGTCGACCAGATAGAAGATAAGTGTTCTATCAATTTGTCCGATCATTTGACTTAAAATGAAGATCAAGTGTTGGTTTCGAGGTCGACCTAATCCAGTACGAGGTCGACCGAATACAAGAAAGTCAACCTATGCCTTGTGTCTTTTTTGCTTATGTATGTCGATTTGTGTGGTTCTTTTGCTCGTATAAATTATGTTTCAAACCATCATAACTAATCATAAATAATGATAACAACAACTAAACAAACTAACAAGAAATACAATAAAACAGAAATCATAATTGTTCACACATAAAAAAAAACTAAAAAAACAACATAATAACAATCAACTCAGTCCCACACAATCTAAAATCTTCGAGTTCCTACTCATGTCCCCTCTCTCCCTCATCCACATTTTCTTCATTGGTGTTGCTAACATGATGGTGGTCGGATGTGGTGGGATGCATGTATCTTCCGCTGAAAGATCGCCACTCATCTCGCAGCTCATTCACGGTCACCTGCATTGTGCTCATCTGGGCGGTCATTTGCCCCATGTAGTCGTACATGCTAGTCATCTGGCTGGACACCTGGCCCATGTACTCGTACATGTCATCCATGCGCTCCCACACACGCTCTAAGGTGACCGGTGGAGTTGAACTATGTGCCTCCGTCATTGGCTCGTCTCCAGCTCCTTCGTCACCATCACCATAATCATCCTCATCATCATTATCACCACCTCCATGGGCACCATGACCATTGTTTATTCGGACATACTCACCATTACGCAGCTCAAAGCCCATCTTTTTCAGAGATGAAACAGTATAGAACTCATGCCTTGAGATTTTTAACCCCACCTCACCACTTAAATCCACACGAAAATGCTGAAATACCAAAGTCAGGATCATCCCATAGGGAAGATTCCTGTTTGAACTCTCTGCAACAGTAAGCATGTGGTTGAAGATCAAGTATTTGGGTCGACCTTTCATTCGGTTAGACCACCAAAGAGGTCGACCATATTATATAAGAGGTCGACCGCGTCTCGGAACCTCACATATATGAATTAGTCAATTCGGTCGACCGCCTTTTGGATTAGGTCGACCGTAGCAAAATCCAATGTTTTTTAGGGCGACATTTAGCAATTTTAAGGGCGACCTTTAGCAACTCCCTTTTTTTATTCCTTTGTTAGCTGAGGATTGTAATCCCATAAATAGAGGTTGTGATCCCATCCATCCATCAATCTAATTTAATTATTTTGTTTAAATATCCAACTAATCCAATATATTTGAACCAATTCAACGAGAAAAAAATATATTTGAACCAAATTCAATTGGACTGGTGGATTCATAAATTAATACATGGATTCAAATGACAAATTATGATTTAGCACTTATAGTTTTTATATTTTGGTACCTAGAATTTATTTTAGGCGAAATTTATTATTGGAAAATTATATTTTGGTATCTAAATTTTTTATTATGACATTTTAGTACCTAAACTTTTCAAAATTTACAAAATGGTCCAAGGCTTGGATGTCATACTCATATATATGGATTGATGGATCAATACCAACAGGGGCGGACCCATGGGACGCCGCTAAATTTTGAAGAAATAATTATCCAACCCCCGGTGATAATTTACATATGGACAAAAAAGTTATAATTGATAATGGGGACACCCCTGAAATTTGGAAAAGTGATTATCCTACTCTCATTTTTTAGTTTGTGTATGTGAATATATAAGTGGTAGTTTGGGTAATTCGAACATATGGCACTACTATTATTAATAAATATAATTTCCATTAGGTTACAACTCATTTGTTGTTCGATTTTAACAGTGTAATAGTAAAATGACATTCCCTATCTCTAATCGTTTTCAAAACATAACAACTAAACCAATTTCAAGCTACCCTTAATTTTTATTAATTTTATGGTTGTAACTTGTAAGTGTTAAAAGAGTCTTTTTCAACTTTAGGGTACATCAATAACAATTTAAGAATCGAATATGCGTCAGTTCGTGAATGATTGTTTCGTATGACATACAAAGACAATTTTTTTTAGCAGTGTAGACACCAAGGGTATTCTATAATTATTTCCGAATATGAAAACACTTCGTGAATTTTTTTTAACTTCGTACCAGTCAGGTATTTTCTTATTTAAGAATTATTTATTTTATTTTTTAAAAGAGGACACCCCTATGTAAAATTCCTGGGTCCGCCACTGTCCACCAATCCATTGAATCCAATCTAGTTAATCCATGTACCTACAAATCCAATTCATGAATCCAATCTATTTGCCACCTCTACCCATAAACCAAGTGTGAATGAAATGAACATCAGAATATCCAGATTTGATTATAAAAAAAACAAAAGTGATACTACCTAAAATTGACCCATAATACATAGGATTTGGACAATACCCAAATTGTAAAAAAAAAAAAAAAAAAAGGACAATACCCAAATTGTGCAGTACGAGGAAAGAAGAAAAGGTTTCTTTGGCTCACTCTTGCATCAAGTAGGGCTTTCAATTGTTTTGCCAAGGGCATGCACCATATCTAACTAGCTAGCAGATTTGGGCACTGCAGACTGCTCCATAAGAAGAAAGCTGATGAGTTTGGACAACGTCAATGCATGTGATTCCACTAGCGAATTAATACCATGATAACTACTGCTTCCGAATGTTAGGTAAACAAAGAATAAACATCCCTTTTTCACGTGCAAGTATCAATCACCCAACTACTATATATATTATCAGCCCAAAGCAAAGAAGTAGCTAACTAACTAAGTTGCTACATACTCGCTACTCAATAAAACTCCAACCTTCGCCGGCGGCCATGTCGATAGTCTATCCCGGCGAAGCATCCGCCGCCGTAATCATACCATCCCTCCTCGTCACATTCCTCATCATCTCCATAACCCTATCGAAACTCATCAAGAACACACGAGCCGCCGCCTCCAAGCTCCCGCCACTCCCTCCGAGCCCGTCACCATCATGGCCCCTCGTCGGAAACCTCCCGGCGATCATAATCCACAAAAAGCCAATGTTCCGGTGGGTCCACAAGTTGATGAAGGACATGAACACCGACATCTGCCTCATCCGGCTCCCCGGCGGCGCCAACCTGGTCCCCGTCCTCGACCCCGCCATCGCCAGGGAGATGCTGAGGAAGCAGGACGCCACCTTCGCCGACCGCTCCATCTCCTTCGGCAGCCACGCCGTGAGCGGCGGATACGTCACCACCGCCGCCGTCCCCTACAACGACCAGTGGCGCAAAATGCGGAAGGTGTTCACCTCCGAGATAGTTTCCCCCGCCAGGCACGTGTGGCTGCAAGAAAAGCGGGACGAGGAGGCCGACAACCTCGTCTTCTACGTCCACAGCCGCTGCATGGCGGGGAAGAGCGTCGACCTTAGGGTCGCCACGCGACATTACTGCGGCAACGTCATGAGGAAGATCATGTTTGGGCGGAGGTATATGTTGATGAGTTGTTGACCATAGTAGTTAATCGTTGCGAATTATCAATGTTATTTATTAGGATAATGACATAAAATAGTTTTTTGTAAATTCAAACTCAATCAAACGAGTGCGTTCATTAAGAAAATCGGGTAAACTATTTACTATGTTTTAAAAGTGAAAATAGTATACAATTCAATCCAACGAGTATGGGTTTTCACAAACATAACACTCGTATTATAAAGGTTATCGAAATTTTTCCTACACATATATATCTTTATAAAAACTAGTTACATTCATAAATTATTCATATATATCATTAGGTTTATATTGTCATGAACACTAATATACTATCTATAAATTATTCATGTTGTGTTGATTATAGATAACATGACCTCGTTTTGTTTTATGAGTGTCAATCTGGTGGAAAGTGGATTGGATTTTGGCAAGACCAAAACCCTACCCTACCTGCTAATTTTAAAAGCGGACAAAACGCACACCCAATATCTATCCGCATTGAATTTTATCCAGTTTGAACTAACTAAATTAGTTACTCGTGAATTTTGGTTCAATTGTGATTAGTATTTATCAATGTTGATAATTTAGCAGTAATTATTAATAAATATTGCAAATTTATGATAATTACATGACATTACTGATCAATACATTCATAGGTTTTTCGGCGAGCCCACTGCGGACGGTGGGCCCGGAAAGATGGAAGTCAAACACGTGGAGGCCGTGTTCACGGCGTTAAAGTACCTGTATTGGTCGTGTTTATCGGATTTCTTCCCGTGTTTGTGGGGATGGAACGTCGACGGAAAGGAGAAAATTATCAATGAAGCCAACGAGACCATTCGAGGCTACCAAGACCCTATCATCGACGCGAGGATCCAGGAGTGGAGGAATAACGGAGGGAAGACGGAAATGGACGACCTACTTGACGTCTTCATCACCGTCAAGGACGAACAAGGGAAACCCTTGCTCACTCCCCACGAAATCAAGAGCCAAGCTACGGTATATATAATATTCTCAAACCCAGTGTACCCTATGATATTGAGCCGAATTAATTTGATGCGCGTCAAAATGTAACATGATGATATATTCTAACTTTGAAACACACTGCCATGCATGCAGGAGATAATGATGGCGTCCATAGACAACCCATCGAACGCGGTGGAATGGGCAATGGCCGAGCTGATCAACCGACCGGACCTCATGGCGAAGGCCACGGAGGAAATCGATCGAGTTGTTGGGAAAGATTCGAGACTGGTCCAGGAATCGGACATCGGGAGGCTGAACTACGTGAAAGCATGCGCCAGGGAGGCGTTCCGGCTCCACCCGTTGGCACCATTCAACGCCCCACACGTGGCGACCCAGGACACCACCGTGGGCGGCTACTTCATCCCCAAGGGCAGCCACGCCCTCCTCAGCCGCTACGGCCTCGGTCGGAACCCGAAGGTTTGGCCCGACCCGCTCAGGTTCGACCCGGAGCGGCACCTCGAAAACGACGGCGGCGTCGATGAGGTGGCCCTCGTGGAGAAGGAGCTGAGGTTCATATCGTTTAGCACCGGCCGGCGAGGTTGCGTGGCGACGGTGCTCGGGACTTGTATGACCACCATGCTGCTCGCCAGGCTGCTGCAGTGCTTCGCGTGGACGCCGGTGGGGGGAAATAAGACCGTTGACCTGAGTGAAGCTGAGGATGGGCTCTCACTGGCCACGCCGCTCATGGCATTACCTAAGACGCGTTTAGCTCGCCACTTATATCCTGTTGTGTAACAATATGAATTCTCTCTTGTAAAAACGTTTCGTGTAGTCTCTCTTCTGTACCATCCGGTTGAATCTCATGTATAACATTTCCGTATTATATTAAAGAACTAAAGGGTTAATTAGGGTAAGCTAATGCCCACCCTTTATTAATTATGTTAAAGTTATCAAATAATTGTTTCGTCCGAGCCTGCCAGCGGCAATTAGTGATGGCAATAGGGCGGGCGGTACCTCAATTCTTATGCCCCGCACTACGCTACTACGGGTTGGGGCGGGTAAAACCCATGCGGGTACGGGGAGGGGCGAGTCGACCCACTCTTACATGTTATTCAAAAAAAATACAAGTAAATTTTACTTTTTACAATAAAATGTAGGGAAAACACTTTAAGAATGAAAAATATTGATAATAGAATGGATAATTGAGCCTAACTAGTTGAAGAAAAGTCAAAATATGAGAAATATGTATAGATATTGTAAGAAATTGAGATAAAATGAGTCTACAACGGGGCGGGGCGGGTTGGAAGTAGATACCCATGCCCCGCCCCACGCTACTGCGGGTCGGGTAATACCCGCCCCATCGCGGGTCAGGTCGGGTAATACCCGCGGGGCGGGTTGAAATTGCCATCACTAGCGGCAATGAAGACTATGTCTGATCCAGCGGCGAAGTTCCCGGAAGTAGAGATTATGAGTGATCGTTTAACCCATCGCGCGTAAATTGTAAGAACTAGAAACAAAAGAGAACAAGATTAGAGTTTTTATTCTTTATTGACTGATTAAAACCTAGAAACAATTGAGCACTTCTATTATGCTATATAGTATTGGTGCTTTAATGTACAACTTGAAGTTGTACCATAACATTAAATATATAAGTTTAGGTTGTACCATAAAGTAATTTGTATAATTATGTTATGGTACAACTTTACAACTTGAAGTTGTACCATCACATAAGTTGTACCATAAAAGAATTTGTACAAAAGTTGTACCATAAAAATAAAAACCTATAGCACCAATACTATATAGCATTGTAAAATTCCTCGAAACAATTGAGTTAGTATTGATATTTTTCATTTCCTTCCCGACAAGTCACACATGACTAAGACACATTATGTTACGTTTTGTGTACTAATTAGGAGAGCTGATCCATGTCTTCTTGTGGCACTCAATAGCAGCTGCAGCATTTTAGCTACATTTGAAGATCTTATTCATGAAAATCATTTACTTTGTATATTGTTCGTAGGACAATATTCTTTCTCTGCTTCCCCTGCTACGAAGACCTATTTTAACATACATTGTTCTCGCATCCATCCTTTCCTAACTCGGTTAGACATTTTATGTCATATTTGCGTTTATGAAATATTTGACAAAACTTTTTTTTATGACGAGGAACACCCTCTACGGTCACCATCTTCGGTGATGCCGTAGTCGGGCCAAACCCTGAGACCTCCGCTAGCAGTCCGAGTTTTTTTTTTATGACGAGGAACACCCTCCATGTTCACCACCTTCGATGATGCCGTAGGCGGGCCAAACCCCGGGACCTCCGCTAGCAGTCCGAGCAAATGCGGGGTGCCTCAGCGAACACCATGACAGCGGTGAGGATCAAACCTGAGACCTCTCGGTCACTAATCCACCTCCCTTACCACCAGGCTATGTGACATTTGGCACAAAACAATTTTTCTTAACGCTAATTTTGGATTATTTTAAATTAGCGAATCTTCCCACCATTTGAAGAAAACTATATAGTGGGACTCCTCCCCTATGAGGAACCTGTTGCAATATCTCAGTTTGCTACTGGGCAACAACACAATTTACTAAAATGTACTCCTCCCGTATGAGGAACATATTCTAATATTACACCGTTTTTAATCCAACCAACGAGTTGGACTATAAACTAGTCCTTCTATATAAATTTATATCAAACGTCTCATTTGTTCGTCTAATGTAATGACCATTATATTATTATAATGATTTTATAAGTTGTGTGGGTGCCTGCCATATCTTTGAGTCTATTTTTAACGATCTAATTTGTGGCACATCATGAATTTGGATGTGTGCAAATCGCTACTATTATTTGTAAATAGTTAACGAAGAACTTCTAATTTGAAAAAATATGGAATTTATAACAAGCACAATATAAAGTTTACACCTGAACGTTCTACAAATTTGAAGTAGGGTGTATATATAAGTATTCCATTAATAGTTATAAATAACTTATAATCATAGTTAGTAAAATACGGTACGACCATACAAATAAGTTTTATCTATGCTATGAAGTCTGGAGCCAAATGCAATTTCGAGTTTGAAGAAGGGATCCAAAGATATTTGCCGATCCCTGTCCTCCAAGACCTAAAAAGAAGGAGGAAGCCTTGCCATTCACACTGAGTGGATGGAGGGAAGGGAAAAGATTCAAAGGATGGCAGTCCGTGGAGGGACTAGTTATGTGCCATCAAGACAAGCCAGAGGGACGAAGAACCAAAGGATTGCTGTTTTTAAGAAGGTTTTTTTCCATGCATCGGTTTTGGTACCGGCAAGGTGCTAGGCTTTCTGTTGGGATATGTGAATTCTCTACGCGCAAACTGAAAATGATAAAGAAAAAAGACAGAATGAGATGGGTTTATCCGCATCCTCCATTAATATATGGTAGACTTTTGTGTAATTTTCTCCATTTCAAATTTTCTCCAATGAGAGTGAAAGTAAGAAGGACATTTTTGTCTTTACAATTAATTATTTATTTCAAATAAAAAATATCAATATCAAGATTTGAACTCGGGTCTCTTCAAACAAAGACAACAATTATATCCAATTACACTAAACAAATTTGTTGTTTCTATTTGAATACAAAACATACACTAAGTTAAACTCTGGAAAGTGAATGACTTTTACATCATGATCAACAAGCCGACTAAGTCTACCATATATATTTTTATGGTGCTTAATACTTCAATTTCCATAGTAGAGTTTCAAGTAATTTTATCCATTTTAAGATTCATGCGCTACTTAATTTTTGTTTAGGTAAATTTGTAATTGGCTAACATGGAAGAAACTATTTCTTTGACTACGTGTTGTGTCATTGCATTTTTCAATTTAAATTTAAATTTTGTGCTTCTTTATCTTTTTTTTTCTTATCTCTTTATAACTTACTTCGAAAGTCCCTCCATTGTACAATAATTTGGCCCTTTCACTTTCGAGTACAAGGGCGCATTTGAAAATTAATCATCTGGTTTCTCTTGGCACCACAATTTTATTTTGGGGATTTAAGCTGGGCAAATAGAAAATTTCAAATCCGATATCAATCCATGACGAATAGAATGGAGTTCAATCAAGTAGTTATGAATTTGAATTTGGAGTAGAAGAGTTGGAATTGAGTTTGAGAATGAAAGTGGTGGGAGGAAGAAATTGTGTTTGGATTTTGTAGCAGGTAAAGTTCCACTGCAGCAGGTGAAGGCAGAGAAGAGGGAGTTGGAGAGGGTAGTGAATGAATTGAGGAGGGTGTTGAAAGACATGGAAGCGAAACTGTAGCAGTTAACGAGAGAGAAGTGAGAGATGATGAGGATAGTAACAAAAATGGAGAGGTTATTGAAGGGCAAGGAAGTGGACTGAAGCGGGTGAAGGCACACAAGGGGGAGATGAACATATATATTAATGGAACTGGAGATGAGTGTTGGTTTTAGCAAACTTATTACAACTGCCCCGAGGAAGATGAGTTAGCAAACACAAGAAGAAGATTGAGGAGTTGAAGAGCGAGTTGACAAGAACCCCAATTGGAAGAGAAATTGAGGGTCACGGAGAGAAGGTCCATCAAACTAGAAGAAATGGAGTTGTTTGGTTGGAACATATGCCTCTTGAGATTAAAGATAGAGTGGATAAAAATTTGGTCGTTCAACGGAGAGTGGTGGCTATTGGCCCTTTAGATTTATGGTTTTTGCAGCTACCACAACCTATTTCTATCTTAAAACGAGAAATCATTGATTGATTTACTGAATTAGGTCGATTCTTTATTCAACCTACTGAAACCGATATAAAATGAGTGTCTAATTTTGTGTCTTATGACTTTGACAAAGTCTATTAGTATATTGGAGGTAACCCTAATTTTGTCGTTTGCTCTCAAGTTTTGATGGTTTCCTCTTAGCTAAGTTTGTAGTATATAGTTGACTTGAACCAACAACTCTCTATTTCTTTTTTATCAGTGGCATGTTGTTCCTAAAAGGAGAGCATTGCAACCTTTATGTAGGATTTTGAGGTTTTAGATTCAGTTTCAAACTATATATGGGTCGTGTGGTAATTTCATTGAGCTTTTATATTCTATCTTTATCAACTAACCAATATAATATTATCATTATGAAAATGAAATCAATGATACATTTTTATATTTTATATTCTTAAATGATGATGGTATTTCTTCGAGTGTTCGACCTATATATTATTTCTTTATGTATCATCTCGATCGAAAGATTGTCAAAAAAATTAAACGGGCTGATAGACTTAAACTTAACATAAAATTATAAATTATCAAATATGAACATTCCGGCCTACGGGCCGTTGGCCGGGTTATAAGCTAGTTTGAAGAAAAAGTCAGTATTAGCAAAAGTCGCTGCTAGTGCTAGAAGGAGCTCCTCGAGTAAAAGCTCTTTTTCAAAGCAAAGACCGAGAAAGTAAATTGGCAGAAAGCATCAAAGTCGTCACACTTCTACAATTTCCAAGCGAACCGGGTATAGACCCATTGAGTTCAGAGTAAACTCAATTCAGTATTTCCTAGTTCTGCAAGGACCATGATTGGGAATTGTTTGACAAAGACTTAAGTGGGTTACCAGATATGTCTTTGTTTGCTTAGTGACCCCAACTCTGATATTTAAGAAAGTAATAGGCCACTCACTCTAAACGGATCTCGCCTCGCTCCTTCCTTAGCTGGTTTCGGTTGTATGATGGAAGTGAAGATCTCGCAGAGCAGCATATTAGTAATTTATAAATTGCCAGCGGAGACACTGCTCACGATGAGAGTTTGTTGCTGAAGCACTTTTATGCGAGTATTTCAGATGTCGCATTCGATCTAGAGAAGGAATCTAGATAGCCATCAACCTTATGGCTGAGATTACCTAGACGTTAGATGCCTCAGTTGGTATTCTAGTGGGCT